AGAAAAGGAAATTGCAAAAGCAGAAACGAAACTTGTGAGATCGGGCGAACAAAGTGATGCCAATCAATTAGATAGGTTAAAGAACGAGCTGGAAGAACTGAGACGGCCTATGATAGACGGGCTGATAGTTCGATCTCGAGTATCGTGGCACGAAAAAGGAGAACGAAACTCCAAATACTTTTTGTCCTTAGAAAAAAGGAACTCAGACAGGAAAAGTATCCAATACATTCAGGACGGCGACAACGTCGTTTTAAACAATAATGACATACTCCAAAACTTTTCAACTTTATATCAGAACAAATATTGCGAAAACAGAAATATAGTGCCAGATCAACCATTCATATCAGCTTATATAACGAACAAACTCAGCGAACAAGAACGGCTTGAACTTGATGCGGACATTAATTTGCCTGAACTGACATGTGCGCTAAATTCCATGAAAAAAGGAAAAACCCCAGGATCCAATGGATTTTCTGTTGAATTTTTTCGTCGCTTCTGGCTAGACATAGGCCCTTTTCTTTACCGTGCAGCCAAAGAATCATTCCGGGAGGGCGATGGACTGCCCTCACATCGAGAAGGCATTATCACGCTAATTCCCAAGAAAGGGAAGTCCCCACATTCATATAAAGGTTGGAGGCCGATTACTTTACTAAACGCTGATTACAAGATTTTATCTACCGCTATTTCAAACAGATTAAAGAAAGTAATGAGTAAACTCATCAATCCCGCGCAGACTGCCTACACCTCTGGTCGCTACATCGGTGAAAATACTAGGCTTGTTTACGACCTTATACACTGGACTAAGAAAAACAAAAAAAATGGGAATCATATTAGCAGCTGATTTTGAAGGAGCATTTGAATCAGTTGCCTGGAACTATTTAAGACTAGTCATTAAAGAATTCAAATTCGGTCCTAATATGAGGAATATGATCGACCATCTATATTTAAATAACAAAAACCACTCTCGGATTCTTTTAAATGGACATTTAGGCAAAAAAAATAATTTGGAGAGGGGAATCAGGCAAGGGGACCCGGCATCAGGGTATCTATTCAATTTGGCAGTTTCAATTCTGACCGAACAAATCAACAAGTCAAGTAAACTGACGGGAATAAGAGTAAATAATAAAAACGAAATAAGAATAAGTCAGTATGCTGACGACACAATTATGTTTCTGGACGGCTCTAAAAGATCTGTTACAGGGGCGATCGAAGAACTTGGAATTTTGGTATACGATCGGGTCTTAAAATAAACATTGAAAAAACATCCTGTATGGCAATAGGGAGTTCAATAGATGAGGAAATAAGAACAGAATTAAATATCAATTTTGTAAGTCAACTTACTATTCTAGGAATTCAGATAGACCGGGATTTGACCAATATAACAGATAAAAACATACAACTAAAAATACACATGATAAAAAATGAGCTCGCGCAATGGAACCGTCGCAGTCTTACACCCATCGGTAGAATAAGCGTCGTTAAAGCTCTGCTCCTTTCCAAATTTGTACATATATTTATGTCACTCCCAAACCCATCAGTTCCTTGCACGAAAGAGATCGAAAGACTCCTATTCAGTTTCGTGTGGGGTAACAAAAAAGTTAAACGAACGAAACTTGTACAACGATACGGAAAAGACGGTTTAAATATGGTACAAGTAGACTCCTTCATTAAAAGTATGAAGCTGTCATGGTTAAAACGTATTTACACCTCTACAACAGTCTGGACTGAACTTACAGCACAAGAGCTTCCAGACACGTGGCGGATATTAACATACGGTATGAAAAAGTTACGCATAGTAAAAAGCAAAACAACCAACGCATTTTATGTTGACGTCGTAGACGCTCTGACACAATTTAATCAAGAATACAAACCCTCCGTTAGTGAAATACTCACAGAAAACATATGGTTTTCTGACTGGACTAAATACAGAACGACAATTGTTAAGAGTTGGAATGACAAGGGACTAAGGCATATATGCGACTTATACAATGCAGATACTGGGAAAATTTACACAAAGGAAGAACTGGAAACAGTCTACAGGATACAAATGACGTTTTTATGCTACGCAACCTTAGTACGCAGCATTCCGCAAAAACTGCAAAAACAGGTCGACAAGTCCCTCCTTAGTAAGCCAATTATCCCGTATAAGATTGAAATGGTACAAAGCCGTAAAAACTTTTCAAAAATCGCGTACAACACATTCGTTGAAAATAAAGCGGACACAAATAGTAGCTCAAATGCACGTCTTCAGACGAAATGGATAATCGATATTGGCGAATATACGAAGGGAACCGTTCAGAGAGTTAAAGAAGCAACAATGTCCACGTTTCTTCTTTATCTCCATTTTCGGGTTATCAATAGAATTTATGCTACAAATAAATACTTGGCGAATATTCATGTACGTCAAAGCAGTACCTGTACCTTCTGTGAAAGTGCAACAGAAACGATCTTCCACCTGTTCTGGCAGTGTCCTACAACACAAATATTCATTAAGGAAATACTGTCACATATAAGAACACAATATCACACCAGCATAAATATCAACTGTATAAATTGGTTCATGCTATCAGATCTCACTAACATAGAAGTGGTCATAGTAACGCTCAGTAAATCTTGTATACACAAAGCACGTCTTAAATTAGCTAAGCCATCGGTGGAGGTAATGCTGCAAACACTTAAATTTGAAGCGATAAAAGAATACAATATTGCGAAGTCACATAGGAAAATTGATGCTTTTAAACGGAAATGGGGCGAGCTTGCAAAAATACTTGAGTAAATACTTGAAGACAATGGTGATATTTGTCACGGAGGGTGGTGGGTGGGCCTGCGCCGCTCCGGGTGTCAGACCACGATACACACAGCCGCAAATAAGCCCTGCACATGGATGGAACTGCGCAATACATATATTCTTGGCAAGCAAGCACGCACACTCACACCCACACACCTACACACACACAGACACACCCCCACCCACACCCACATACACCCACACACACTCACACACACCCACACACCTACAATCACACCCATACACATACTCTCACACGTTCACTCAATGAGAAACGCCTGTCTTGTATGGCGAGCCCGCCCGCCCCTAACCCAACCCGGCTAACCGGAGGCCGGCTCTATAAAGGGTCGGCCGGCCGGCCGGGCGCGCGGCTCGCCACCCTATCACGGTGACGGGTCGCGGGCCCGGCCGGCGGCCTGGGGCATCGCCCCATCGGCGTCGGATAGGCGTGTAATTCGCGGGGCGATGCGGGGCGGGACGGGATCCCTCGGTGCTCCCACCAGATGTTTGAACCTTTGTTGCGCTAGCACTGTACATGAGTGACAAGATGATACATGAATGAATTATGTGTGTGTAATGCGCAATGCCTACACTAGCACAGTACATGAGTGACAAGAAGACACATCAGTGCATTATGTGTATGTAATACGCATGCCTATTACATGAATGACAGGATGGTACATGAATAAGTTGTATGTATTTATTGCGCATGTCTATACATGAACGAAAAAAAAGTACGTGAGGAGCCATAGACCTTCCCTGACCACCACACTGTCCCTCATCAGCCTGGAACAGGAGCCCTATGTTAGTACGTGAGGAACCATAGACCTTCCCTGACCACCACACTGTCCCTCATCAGCCTGGAAAAGGAGCCCTATGTTAGTACGTAAGGAGCCATAGACCTTCCCTGACCACCACACTGTCCCTCATCAGCTTGGGAAAGGAGCCCTATGTTAGTACGTGAGGAGCCATAGACCTTCCCTGACCACCAAACTGTCCCTCATCAGCCTGGAACAGGAGCCCTATGATAGTACGTAAGGAGCCATAGACCTTCCCTGACCACCACACTGTCCCTCATCAGCCTGGAACAGGAGCCCTATGTTAGTACGTGAGGAGCGATAGACCTTCCCTGACCACCACACTGTCCCTCATCAGCCTGGAAAAGGAGCCCTATGTTAGTACGTGAGGAGCGATAGACCTTCCCTGACCACCACACTGTCCCTCATCAGCCTGGAACAGGAGCCCTATGTTAGTACGTGAGGAGCCACAGACCTTCCCTGACCACCACACTGTCCCTCATCAGCCTGGAACAGGAGCCCTATGTTAGTACGTGAGGAGCCACAGACCTTCCCTGACCACCATACTGTCCCTCATCAGCCTGGAACAGGAGCCCTATGATAGTACGTAAGGAGCCATAGACCTTCCCTGACCACCACACTGTCCCTCATCAGCCTGGAACAGGAGCCCTATGTTAGTACGTGAGGAGCGATAGACCTTCCCTGACCACCACACTGTCCCTCATCAGCCTGGAAAAGGAGCCCTATGTTAGTACGTGAGGAGCCATAGACCTTCCCTGACCACCACACTGTCCCTCATCAGCCTGGAAAAGGAGCCCTATGTTAGTACGTGAGGAGCCATAGACCTTCCCTGACCACCACACTGTCCCTCATCAGCCTGGAACAGGAGCCCATGTTAGTACGTGAGGAGCCATAGACCTTCCCTGACCACCACACTGTCCCTCATCAGCCTGGGAAAGGAGCCCTATGTTAGTACGTGAGGAGCGATAGACCTTCCCTGACCACCACACTGTCCCTCATCAGCCTGGAAAAGGAGCCCTATGTTAGTACGTGAGGAGCCATAGACCCTCCCTGATTTATCTCACCAAACAAGGAACCCAAGGGGGCCGGAAGGCAGCCATAGGCAGCCTGTAGCGAAGCATGACTATGAAGCCTGTGTTTAACCACCAATAATATGTACGGAATAATAGGTCATGGCTTGCTTGTGAAAAGGCATATTGATCAAGCCTGTAAAAAGTATTCAAGCCTGTAAAAAAGCACGGTAGAAAAGATAGATAATCGGCTAAGAATTAGGATTGAACATTAGTTAGACGGAGACATATTATCCTCATCATCTGTGTACCTGATTATCATTATCATCATCATTATCATCATCATCGTCAGCACCGTTATCACTTAGCCCCCCTCATTTTCACCTGCGCGCCTGCATGGGGTCCTCCTGCATCAGTTTGAGCGCCTCCTTCATCCTGTGATCCTGCAGACAGCGCTGTACCCCTGGCTGTTGGCTAATCCTGACCCGGGCCTGGTGGACGTCCTGGTCCAGGACCGTCAGACAGCGCTGGTACCCGGCGGCCGCCTCCTGGGTGACGTCATACAGACGGGGGGACGTCATACAGACAGGGGGCGTCATACAGACATACAGACAGGGGGCGTCACACATACAGGGGGGCGTCACACAGACAGGGGGACGTCATATACAGACGGGGGAAGGTTAGTTGGGTGTGTGACGTCACATAGCACAGACCGGTTACCGAGTGTGTGACGTCATGCAGCACAGGGAGGCAATTGGGAATGACGTCACACTCACATGCACGGCGGATAGGCCATCAGGTGTCACTTCACATACGACATGACGACACAGGACATGCCGACAGTGTGACGTCATATATCATAACCAGATCACCTATTATTACGGTATACCTGCAGCACAGACATGCAATAGGTTTGACATCACAGATGACAGATTTATCTTGATCGTGACGTCATACAGCCAGCCTGAACGTCATCAGTGGAGGGCAGGTTGACGGGTATGACATCATACACCAGACGGTTTAACGGGGCTGACGTCATGCAATAAATGTTATCCTGGAGGTACAACCTAGCAATTATATCTTTGCAAATGTAACGTGACACCAAAACATCGCCAATAGTTTCGGTTTTAATAGCCGATTATTTTCGTGCCATCCTTCGGCATAACTTTCCTATTCACTAGCTGAATAATTTCTCGCTGTTATCGCTGCGAGACTCCATTGCCCACATCACTGCATTCAGCCCACCTAATGCCCATTGTGACCACTGCTTTAGGCACGCTCACCTTGCTGTTTTTGTCCAGCTCAATGGCCGCTCTGAACGCGTCTTTAGCGTCCCATGGCCTGCTGAGCTGCAACAACAGCTGTCCCTTCTTGCAGTGTCCGTCAGCTGCCGACAGACACACGCAGGCTGTTTGGAAATTAGACAAACACTAGGCCTTTCCTGCACACTGTAAAAAATGTTTACTAACACATTAGTTATTTATTCAACATAACGCTAGTGTCATAACACATATATGTGTTATAAGAGTGTAACCTGCAGGAAGAAAATGATTTAACGAGTTCTGAAACACGGGGTGTTGCAATCACCACACGGATACATTTGATTAACTCGTTGATGTGCTTCAAAACAAAGATAAAGTGTGTGCTGCGATGTGAGTTATTAAACACATACGCGTGTTTAAGACAACCCCGGCTCAAAAATCGAGAGACGTGTTATCAAACTTGCCTTCAGCGTGCCGATCAGTAACATTACACGTATTATGCTAGTAAACCATTACACGCAGCTAAGTTACTGCAACAATGTCGCCATTTTGTGCGGATCGCGCGCGCGACTCCGCCGCATTCATCTGAGACCTGTTTGCGAAGTGGTGTCTCAAATGGTAAGTGAAGAAATATGATAAAATACCTATTGTCTAATGAAACTGTGTGATTTTCACATGCATTACATGTATTTGTATTCATTGTGCATTACGATTATATAACTATGAAACATATCAACGGTCAAGGAAGGCATGCATGTGAATGGCAGTGTCAATAGACAATTTGCCATGTACAGCACATTAACCCTCGCCCCGTTGGGGGGGGGGCCATTTTGGCCCCCCCCCTGTGGTTTTTCCTGAATAGCAAGAAAACGGCGGCGCGCAGCGCCGCCAAATTTTCAGTACCTTCCCGGGCATCAATTTGACACCTTCACACCAAATTTCAAGTCTTAGGTCACCTTAGGTCAGGAGTTATTGAGGTCAAACTGAGGTCATGTTCGAGCAAAAATGAGCAAAAAACATGCAATCTTGAAACGCTCACCAAATCTACAGTTATCAAGCAATTTCAAAGTTCTTTATATGGTCTAGTAGACAAAAGGCGGCGCTACAAAACTGCTATCTCGGATTTTCAAAATTTTTGGTTTTTGACCCAAAAAAATCAAAAAAATTGATTTTTTTAGAAAAACTTTGAAAAAATCCAAAAATTTTCCGAATTTCGAAAAAAAAACGGAATATATGTGATAGTCCCAGCGCTCTTCTATATACATACCAAATTTCAGATCGATATCTCGTTTTTTGGCCAAGTTATAGCGAAAAAAACTGTTCAAAAATGATGACGTCAAATTTTTGAACTCAATTTTTAGCAATTCTAGACCTCGTACGGCAAAACAAAGACCACCATTGAACTCCCCGTGACGAGCTGCATCGATTCGATACCCATTTTATGCAAAAATATTAACTTTAAATTTTGACCTAATTTGACCTGACCTTGACCTGACCTTGACCTGACCTTGACCAAAACGTGATCTAAGCTGGCCCCAAAGGCTGCCTGACCCATATAATCGCATTTGTCATGTAAAATGGACCATAAAACATGTATCACACGACACTTTCATATTGTGACCCCCCCGTGACCTGACCTCTGTGACCTGACCTGGTATCAGTGACCTCAAATAGCAAAATATGTGTTTGAAGAACATTTCCCCATCGATGATTTTCAATGAAATGCATTTTACTCGATTTTACAACGCATTTCTTGAAGTGCCTGTAAATGGTGAAAATTGGACCTTTGACCTGACCTGTGACGTCATCGGTTTGACCTAGGTCAATAAAATTGGGTCACAAGGTAGTTCCCCGTTGGGGCTATCCAACGCCGTTTACCGCTTGTCGCTATGTTGCGTGGTTCTCGAGATCTTAGGGGGGGGGCCAAAATGGCCCCCCCCCCAACCGGGCGCGTTGCTCGGCAGAGCCCAACGGGGCGCGGGTTAATTGCACATATAGATGATAAATTGGTTATGTTCTCCAGTCACAGGTAAAATATTTATTTCCTCCTACTCAATTCCAGTCTGCAAAATGTGGCAGGGAGCTTGACAAGATTTTCAGGGCAGACAAAATACTCAGAATGCTGAGACTCAGGGCAGCACAATTCCTGCCCCTAATAATGCAAATGATTTAACGCTATAATGATGTGGAAGGTGGTGAGGAGCTGAGCAAAGTATTTCTGTCCCAATTTTTCAACTTCTGCCCCAACATTCCTAAAACCTGCCCCAGTTTTTGCCCTGATCCATGATGACTGCTCCGATGAGATCTCGTCAAATCCTGCCATGTTTTGCAGACTGGCTACTCATGATAGAACAACCATTTTAGACTGAGGTGAGCAATAACAATGGGTATAGTTTAGTGTCAGAGGTACCTTATAGTTTTCAAAACAAGTTGATGGGCATAAAGAGCTGAGGCGAGCATTGTACCAAATATGGACATGCTGCATTTTTATATTTGGAAACGGAAGGTGCACGCTCACCTCCTTGACGAGCTACGCAAGTTCTTGCAAAACTATGCACAACACTGTTTCTAAAAATGAAAAGCTAACATTTGAATCTACGACAGATAGGTAGGTACAGGGGCCACTCCACGGTGTGACGACTGGAGGGGACATTGACCATTTCAAGTCTTCCATGCAACGCCATAGGCGTAATGTTAAAGTTTTAAAAAGTGGAGGGGATGAGATCCCCTCCGTCACACCCCTGTGGCGACGCCCTTGGGTAGGTACCATGGTTGGTGGGTCAAAATCCATGGTTAGATTTTTCCATGCCAGCCTGTGATATAAAATTTTAGGTTGTGATTGCAGATGGAGCGAAACTGGGATGAATGACGGAACACTTCCATAAATGTTTCCTTTCAAATATGATAGCCCAAACCTGGTTTGGGCTGATACTTAATTGACTTGGGCTTCACAAATATTTTTAACTTTGACAAAATTCACTCCACATTTTAACCCTCTTTATTTTCTGATGCCAATAGAATATAGATGGCAATCAGCCATCCAGTTACATTACACATTTTGCTTGGAAATAAATCACCTGGAAGTTCAGAGTTTCCACTTATGACAATGCACGATGCAAGTCTCCATTTATGGATCAAAAACTTTTCATATTTAGAAATGTTTCCAAGAATAGAAGCATTTCCATAGATGGAACGAAACTACCTACCACAATGTGCCTCAGCCTGACTGACCTGCAACCAATCTCAATCTAACATAAAAAATTGTTAGAACCACGCACAGCTTATTTAGGGGAAAAGTAATCACATGTGATCATGCTCCATGACCCACACTTAAAATACAAAGCAATCCACTTCATAAATGGATAAATGCTGAAATTCACGTGAAAATATGAAATCAAGGTCGGAGTTATATGGCCTTGCCATTACACCGTTACCGCTGGTATTTTGCTGGTTTCCCCAGATTTCCACACAAATTTCCCTATTTCGGGCACTCATTTCCCTAGATGCTCATTTGCATATAAAATTTAGTCCAAATGTCCCTGATTTAGAAGGCCTTGCTTGATTTGACCCCAGAGCGGACATCCCGAAGGATTTTACTACAAGAAAATCCTGAGCAGCCCTCATCTTGGGTAGTAATTCACCCGCTGGCCGATTCTTCGGGATATGCTTGCTCCATGGGGTAAAATCAAGCAAGCTGCCGCAGGGCCGGCGCCACAGATTTCGGACTGCGGGGGCAGCTTGTCCCGACAAAGGGCCCATGCGGAAAGGCCCAAGGTAACCTATACACAAAATCTGAAAACTCCTCTCGGATTTGGCTCAATATTTTTTCGAGAGGGGTCCAAATTATGCAAAAATGCATGTTCCTGCAATTTTTTAAAGGGCCCGGCTGGCAACTGGTGGATGGGCGGCCTCCCCCTGCCCCCCCCCCCTGTGGCGCCGGCCCTTGCTCTGCTAAATCAGGGACATTGACATTTGGACTTGTGCACTAGGGAAATGAGGGCCAGAAATAGGGAAATTTGTGTGGGAATCTGGGGAAACAAAAAAAAACAGGGGTAACGCTGGCCACGCGGATTCAGTGTTTACCTTGGCTGATTCCGAAGGTCTATGAAGCTAGGCAGTGTGTGCATAATTTGAAGATATTGATTAATAATAGTCAATTTTATGGTTTCAAAGCTTACTTAGAGGCTATAGCTAGAGTGTATATGCTAGTAATGCTGGGCGTCCTTGGAGCCTACCTAGTGTTTTGCAAGGAAGTCTAGTGTGCGCCACATTTGCCAAGCAATTGACACGTGAGAAGTTATAATTTATGTGTGTGGTTTCAGTCGGGCACACTGTGATAATTCCGTTCCATATTTTTTTTTTTTATAAATTTAGTCCAAATGTTTGATTGGGTGGCTTGAGGGATCCGAGTCCACACTAAGCATAGCTTGTTGTGCCTGTCTCTGAACAGTGAACCCACCACCCGATCACGCAATTCCAGTGCTATGGCAGAATTTCGTCTGAAAGTTTAACGTGCCCGGTAGACTGGACACGGTCCCCTCCGCCCACTCATGCTCTCTGGTCTTCGTGCGGCCCCTGCCACATACATGCACGCCATTACACGTAGGGGCCAAATGTTACCGCTCACACCTGCACTGGGGCTTGAACCGGGCTCTCACCACCAGTTCCAGCGTTGAACTCTGGCGCTTTAGACCACTCAGCTAGGAATGGGACTGGCCTTCTGGTTTTATAGAAACGTTCCTTTATTTGAAACATTCCTAAATATAGAAACACTAGGTAGGTACTGTTCCAAAACTGGAAATGCTCAGAAACGCCAATCTTTCTGGGTGATTTATTTCAAAGCAAGATGTGTTATAACTGTCTAGATGGTGGACTGCCATCTATTTATATTGGCATCAAGGAAGCACTGCAGATGGAAATGCGGTGTCAATTTTTCCAAAACTTAAAATAACAGGCGAGCACGCACCTTCCGTTTCCACATACAGAAACCCTATTCCATATTTGGAACAATGATCACCTCAGCGTTTCTATCTATGGAACATTGTTTCTATATACTGAAACGTTTCTACATATAGTATATGGCACGGAATAACCACAGTGTGCTCAACTGGTTTGGTATCTGGAGCAAGGCCTCTGGAGCTTGTAATTTTTGTTTCATATTAACTATGATGTTGGTTGCTTCTAACTTAGTATTTTTGTGGAATTTCTCTCCACCCAGAATATCAGTTTGGTTGTTGGTACCCCTGATATTCTAGTTGGAAATCAGCATTGGTTCAATTTTGGTTTTACCTAAGATTTTCATCCCACCAACTTGTTTGAGAAACTCCACCCATGGGTGACACCGAAGCCTGTCAGTTGGGCAAACTGCAGGGAAGCAGTCCAAACATGGATTGATCAAAATTAAGATATGACATCACAAAAATGGGTGGAGCAATGCCCATATAAGGAGATGTAATTTATATTAATATTACAATTCTGACTTGCTCCCTTTCAAACCCCTCGTCACCAGTCAAAGTCCCCATGATGGTGAGATATTCACTGTGGTTAAAAGGAGTGAACAGCTCTATCTAAATGATGCATCTGATGATGATGTGTTGTGGCTTTTGCATGCTATTTCTGAAGATAGGAGAGGACATCTCTGAAAATTGGATTTCAACTGTCAAAATAATCTAAATTAAAATTCAGCATAATCTATTTTAATATTAGCCACCTGACAACGTCATCTAAAGCAGGTTACCCACTTGTTTCTGTCCTGGAATCAGGTGCAGATAATCTAAATTTTGATTATTTAATTTATCTTGTAGGTGGAATTAAAATATCTTCAAAGGTTCTTTTTTGCTTATGAGATGTAGCCTGAATTATTTTCTCTAGTATCTGAAGCTGTGGTAAGCTTGTCGTTTTCCAGAGCCGTGATTTAACCATTCCAGTGAGGGTCTGCAAGCATGCCCAAATATGGGCACAAATTGTGATGTAATAATCTAAGTTAAGATCAATCCATTTTAGATTTTTTCCCCTGCAGTTTGCCTGACTGCTGTGTGTGAGGCTGTAGCCCACTCTAGGCAGAGCACCACAACATATTTGTGCACAGGTTTTATGAATATAAATGACCTATAGAGTCATTCACTGGGTAAATCTTGTGTCATGGGATCATTCAAGCGGCCGGCCCAGGCGACAGCGGCGAAGAAGGCGAAGAAGTCCAGACGCTACGAAAACTTCGAGGGATATCAAGGTATGATTACGAGCGAGTGAGCGCAGCGAACGAGCGAGTTCTTTTGAGATTAATGGGAAAATCTGAGTATTCGCGACCCGGCCCGGCCCGACCCGACCCGACCCGGCCCCATCACGCTGTGCAGTGGGTGCATTTGCTCACGCGCCGAGGCTAAACGGCTGGGGGTAGGAGCCTGAAATTTGCACGGCGCCGAGGTGACGCTGCGAACCGGTGCACCGTGGTCGTTTCGAGTCGATGCGGGCCCGGGGAGGTGCGTGGCACGCGCTGGAAAAAATGCATTTTCTCCCATTGCCTCAACATGGGAAAATGAAGGCAACGCGTCGTCAAAACGCCAAAATGAGGCCGGCAGGGGTCGCTTCCCGGGCCCGTAGCTCGGCGCCCCGACGGCCGATCGGCATGCGGCAAACGCTGCCCGATCGAGCTAGCGAATGGGGTGCGTGTCAGGGGTGTTGTGCAGCACGTGCGTTGCCAAGGGCTCTCCCGTTTAAAAAATACCCTGGACGCCCATGACACGGCAACCTGTGGTCCATGCTCACCTATGCCCAGTTCGCCAACTTACAGCCCATATGGGTCCCATTCGGGATGGCTCAATGGGTTATTTTTGGTCAAAATTAGCGAAAGATGACGTCACTGTACTCCCCTGGCGACCCGAAGCTAGGATCTTAAATTTTGTTTTAAAGATGTAAAATTGATGTCTGGTGGGGTATGCCAAATTACAAGTCGGTAGCTCTTCACATTTCGGAGTTATTCCAGGAAAACATGGGGGCGTTTCGCCCCCCCCCTCTCCCCAGCGGGCCGCGTGTTAAAGGCCGTTTCTTGCTTCAAAAATAAAACACTCAAAAGCTGCCATTTTTACAGACTACCTCCCGCCGGAACCAGAGGAGGACATGCAAGTTCACAGGAATCGGCTAAGGCAAGAGGGACTAACCGAGGAAGAGCGGGAAGCGCTGCGAGACTTGACATTCGCGGACCGCCGTCGACACGCCGTGGCTCTCTCGACGCCAATGAAGAAGTTCCTGCACATGTACCCCATGATGAAGAATCACCAAGAGGTAAGTTATAGGAGGCAAGAAGGAGTCTTGTAAGAAGGAGTCAAGGAGGCAGTCTTGTAGAGTAATATTTCGCCGGGGAACCTTCATCGGTACCTGACTCGATTGAATTTGCAATAATACCTGCAATAATACTATCCCGAAATTGTTCCGATGCTGAGATGAGGCAGGGGTTAAGTTTTAATCTTGGCTTTTGCATGATCTCTCTGTCTGTCTGTCTGTCTGTCTGTCTGTCTGTCTGTCTGTCTGTCTGTCTGTCTGTCTGTCTGTCTGTCTGTCTGTCTGTCTGTCTGTCTGTCTGTCTGTCTGTCTGTCTGTCTGTCTGTCTGTCTGTCTGTCTGTCTGTCTGTCTGTCTGTCTGTCTGTCTGTCTGTCTGTCTGTCTGTCTGTCTGTCTGTCTGTCTGTCTGTCTGTCTGTCTGTCTGTCTGTCTGTCTGTCTGTCTGTCTGTCTGTCTGTCTGTCTGTCTGTCTGTCTGTCTGTCTGTCTGTCTGTCTGTCTGTCTGTCTGTCTGTCTGTCTGTCTGTCTGTCTGTCTGTCTGTCTGTCTGTCTGTCTGTCTGTCTGTCTGTCTGTCTGTCTGTCTGTCTGTCTGTCTGTCTGTCTGTCTGTCTGTCTGTCTGTCTGTCTGTCTGTCTGTCTGTCTGTCTGTCTGTCTGTCTGTCTGTCTGTCTGTCTGTCTGTCTGTCTGTCTGTCTGTCTGTCTGTCTGTCTGTCTGTCTGTCTGTCTGTCTGTCTGTCTGTCTGTCTGTCTGTCTGTCTGTCTGTCTGTCTGTCTGTCTGTCTGTCTGTCTGTCTGTCTGTCTGTCTGTCTGTCTGTCTGTCTGTCTGTCTGTCTGTCTGTCTGTCTGTCTGTCTGTCTGTCTGTCTGTCTGTCTGTCTGTCTGTCTGTCTGTCTGTCTGTCTGTCTGTCTGTCTGTCTGTCTGTCTGTCTGTCTGTCTGTCTGTCTGTCTGTCTGTCTGTCTGTCTGTCTGTCTGTCTGTCTGTCTGTCTGTCTGTCTGTCTGTCTGTCTGTCTGTCTGTCTGTCTGTCTGTCTGTCTGTCTGTCTGTCTGTCTGTCTGTCTGTCTGTCTGTCTGTCTGTCTCTCTCTCTCTCTCTCTCGCTCTCTCGCTCTCTCGCTCTCTCGCTCTCTCGCTCTCTCGCTCTCTCGCTCTCTCGCTCTCTCTCGCTCTCGCTCTTTCGCTCTCTCTTGCTCTCACACACTCTCACACACTCTCTCGCCCTCGCTCTCTCAGATACACGGCGCGCACGCACATGTTAAATTATTCCACAATGTTTCCAGATCTGGTACGAGCTGGAGAGGATCAGCGGCGGACAGGGTTCCCGTCTTCAGGAATACCGGAAGCGATTGTGCGACTTCCTCACCGCTGTGCAGATGCACACTGAGTGCGAAGGTGAGACAACATATGCACATGGTTAAACATGCCTCTTTTCAGGGTTAACTGTCTTCATTAGATTTACATTTGAGTGAAGGTTAGCCGTATGTTGAATGGCCGAAATATGAAAAGTATAGGTACCAAAAATAAAAGTATTTCAAGGACATCTCTTCTACGGTTCAATCAACATACGCTTATCTTCCACTCATTGATCCCACTATGCTCTTCATTCATGATTGTACTTTTTCATTTCATTATAGGCCTTTATGTAGGTGGATTGTGGATCCACCTCGGGAGAGGTGCCCCGAGGCCAGTTGCATGCAATTGCAACTGAGCATCCTTCACAATCCGTGATCCCGGTATGGCGGGAAACCTTAGCCAATCGGAGTGCCCAGATTGGTTGTCATGCCAACGGTTGCTTGGCAACGACTCAGAGTAGGGAGTCGGAGGGAGAGCTAGAGAGAGCTTAGGACAGAGTGATGGGATGTGTTTTTGTTATTGCAGCAACGTACAATATAAAATGAACGGACGAACACGAACATGAATGAGAGCCAAGATGACTAAGACGCCCTTGAATAACTTCGGGTCACATTCGGTCAGGAACGTAAACCGCGAAGCATGAAAAGCTTACAATGGTGGCAGCGGAAAACTTCCTTCTCATTTTATGAGCTCTCGAATGTCACTGATCTGTAACGGCTGCAATACTGTCATCCAATCAGGCTGGATTTGGCTGAATCAGGTTGGAGCACTGATTTGATTTTGAAGACGGCAATATGCAAACTGCAATGCTACGCTGCAGTGTGGACGATGCTAGTGCGTGACTCATTCAAGGCTTTATTTGGGTGATTTTGTCGCACGACAGATGAGCGGCAAAAGGTCATGTCAGGCACGTTGCCGGTGATCCAATGGTCTGTTATGCACGAATGATGCCAGGCAAGCTACCAAGCCCTAAGACCTCGAGGAACAGTCAAAGCATGGTCTTATGTTTACTTTCGTGATGAAAATGTCGGTGGTAAATCGTTCTGCTGGAAGATACATCGAGCTTTTGCAAGACACCTATTTCAAGACAGAAACCAGTCAGAATATGCAATGTTTTCAATGACTTTTACGGTTTGTGTTCAGTAACATGCTCTCCGAGATAATTTCTCCGGTAAAGAAAAGCCAGGGGCGTCCAAGTGGGACATAACATGATCTAGAAGACTGGGACGCTGCCCCAGAAGTGTTTCTGCGAGGTATCCGGGTAAATGGAGCTGCAGCAGCCTGTTCCGGTAAGCGAATGGCGGCTCGGACTCGGTCGCAGAGACGGGAGTGGACTCTTTCGCAGCAGGGAAATGCTGAGGGCTCTAATGTGAACGATTTGTGTGTTAATGATATAACAATGTCTTCATTGGCGCTAGGTTTGCCTAAATTTGATGGGGATGGTTCGCTAAATAGGTTCGTTGAGGATTTCACGATTTATGCTTCCCTTCAGGGATGGGATGACGCGAAAAAGCGAACGATTGTACCCCTGTGTTTAATCGGCATTGCCAGAGACGCATATGACGCTATTCCAGAGGGCCGCAAGGAAACGTTTGATGATGTCGTATCGGGGCTCAGGAAAAGTTTTGGTGTCCCCAGCTCGCTAGAAAAGCATCTCACGCTTCAAAAGCTAACTTATGATCCTAGCGAATCACTTGACAACTTTGTCATTCGTTTCAAGAAACAGATGGCTGGTGCTTACCCAGGCCAGGTCTCTGACACGATCTTGCTGAATTACTTTTTGTCAGCCCTTCCCGCCGTCTATCGTAGCGCTGTCATTGCTGCGGGGATCACTAGCTTTGAGGATGCGGTAGGAAAAGTACGCAATATCAGGAGTGCCGCTTCGGCAGCTGGTGATATTGGCGCCTCCGTGCGACAGCTCGATCGCTCTGACTCTGATTTGATCCAGCAGCTCCAACGGAGGGTGAGCGAACTGGAGAGTCAGCTGGCTGCGTCATCTCTCGGGATGTCGGCCGGCACGGTGACATCGGCTCCGGGTCAAAGGTCAGCTCGAGCCAGGTCAGATCCTCGCCCGCCATCTGATCGTCGGGCAGACAGCCCCAGAGTCTGTTGGACTTGCGGTGAGTCAGGCCATGTAAAACGGACATGTCCCAATCGGAACGATAGCTGCTCACTGTGCGGTAAAAAGGGACATCGGCAGTCGATGTGCCGGGAGCGCGGTCAGGGAAACTAGCAGAGGCTCCGGGAGATTCCGGAGCCACAGCCAGCAAACATGTTCCCCTAAGTCCGTCTATGACCTTTACGGCTCGTGTCGCAGGGGCAGAATGTTCGTGTTTGCTTGATACGGGGTCGAGTTTAAATGTTATATCTAAAGCTGCCTTAGATATGTTGCCCCGCGCACCACGCATTCAGCCCACGGCGACCGTAGCCCGCACAGCATCGCAAGAAGCTCTTCCACTGCTAGGACGTGTAGTTTTGTGCTTTGAAATAGCAAACTTGCAGTACACAATACCGTGCTATGTTTCTGATAAGATTGATGTTCCCGTTCTGCTGGGTCTAGAATTTTTGCGCGTGTGTCCGTGTGTCATTGACATGAAACGGCGCTGTCTTATCTTGGCGCCCGCTGAGTCGGTGAGATCGATTTCGGTTGAAGCAGTCTCAGTAGGGAAAGTCGTGAACGCAAAAGACATTTCAGTACCGCCGGGTGCTGAGCTCATTGTACGTGGATTTTTGCCCAACTGTGATTACAGGGGACCCGCAATGGTAGAGCCAATCCTGGAAATCGAGAATTTAGAAATTGTTAGTGCTTTAGTGAATGTTTCAAGCGATTCGGTTCCAGTTGCCGTCCGAAATATCAGTTCTGAGCCGATTTCAGTTCCGAGACGCTCTGAGTTGGCTCAGTTGGAAGTTGGGTTTGTCGAGGAGTCCGATGTGGAACAGCGGTGTCAGCTAGCCACAGGACCACAGGACAAACCGCCCGATTTCAAGGAGAAAGTAACTCTAGAGGGCAGTAATATATCTCGGGAGCAAAAAGAGCGATTTTGGGACGTATTGGGGCGGTACGAGTCGATGTTTGACGGTCATTTGGGACATTCTGAACTGGTAACCCACTCTATCGACACCGGTTCCTGCGCTCCCATTCGTCAGGCTCCACGTCGCATTCCTCCACATCTCAGGGAGGAAGTTAAAGGTGCTCTCGATGAACTGGTAACCCAGGGAGTCCTAGAGGAATCGGAAGGGACATGGGCGTCTCCCATCTGTCTAGTGAGGCGTCGGAACGGGAAATTACGCATCTGTGCTGATTTCCGACGGTTGAATGCTGAGACTACTGTTCCAGCGTACCATATCCCCAGGATAGACGACACGTTAGAGGCTTTAGCGGGGAGCTCTCTTTTCATAGTCCTCGACTTTAATTCGGCGTTCTATCAGGTGTCTGTCGATTCCAAAGATCGTGACAAGACTACTATTGTGACGCCATTCGGGTCGTACCGCCACCGGCGTATGCCCATGGGTCTGTCCGGGTCGCCAGCCACGTGCGCCCGATTGTTGGACATTGTGTTGGCTGATCTCTCACCCAAAGTTGTTCTGAGCTATTTTGATGACGTCATTCTACATGGTCGTTCATTCGATGAGCTATTGACCAATCTAGATACCGTTCTGGGTCGACTGAATGACGCAGGTCTGACACTGAATTTGAAAAAGTGTCTCTGGTTCCAGCCCAGTGTGACCTTCCTAGGTCATGTGGTGTCAGAGGACGGTCTGAGGGCCGATCCCGTCAAAGTCGAGAAAGTTCGACAGTGGCCCGTGCCTAAAACTGCTAAGCAGCTGGCACGTTTTTTGGGCCTCGCTGCCTATTTGAGATAGTGATAGTGAAATGAGAAACATTTCACTATCACTTGGTGTGCCACTTTCAGTAGCAAAAGAATTGGAATCGGTGTCGGTGTCGGGTGTTCACGGGGATCGGACGTGCCTCATCGAGCTCCCGCCTCGCCTTTGTGAAGCAGCTGTGATCAGCTGATTATTGGCGCGAAACTCCAGCGTCTTTATCCAACTCAAACATCCTTAGAAATCCTGTCGCGTGTTTATAACAAATTTACACGGACAAACACGCAGGAGTATACAAAAACGGTAACTGTCAAAAATCTTCGAGGAAAACATGCCGATGGAGAGATCGCCGGTGTTATCTCGCCGTCATGGGATGGCACCTCGTCGACCAGCTGACACCCGCTCAGACCAACGCAACGAGGAGGATGCGACCACCAGCGCTTGTACTGGAGAAAATAGCAAGAAATTCGGTGTGAACATGCCCTTAGCGTCACCGGAAGGCGCCGCCAGGGACGCCGCCTCTAAAAGCGGCGATACTGCCGCGGCCGTAAAAGGAGACAACACGAACGTGGTCGTCGCGGCGGACGGTGAGGAGGACGGCAGCTGCGGAAATAAAGGTATGGCAAAAGATATAAATATGCTACCTAAAAGAGGCCAGGTAGGAAAGCTTGATGAAAGTGTATATAAAGTATTTGAGCAGGACTCGGCCAGCTCCCTCTCACGCTCATCTAGCGACACGAGCAGTGTCGAGGCCATCTGCAATGGAGGCCCTGGAAAAAAACTGTGTGGAAACCCAGTCAAAGAAGGTGAGGCCGGGGTTCTTTGTGACTGCTGCCACGAGTGGTTCCACGCCGCTTGCCAGGCAATCCCCAAAATGGCCCTTAAGGCACTGGAAAGACATGACACACTCGCATGGTTATGCTGCGGGTGCAGGGCCGAACTGAAGAAAAATAAAGCAAAGCCCACGAAAGTGTCAACACTGGAGATGAAAATCAATCAACTTGAGGAAGTGGTCCACAAAAACAACAGAATTATGCTAGACAATGCTCAGATCCACAAAAAAGCAGCGGAAGATCAGGCGATCTATCTAGAGAAATCAATCAAGGCCATCAACGAACGTTTCGAAAACCAGCACAAGTCGCTGGAGCTCATGACCCAGCAGCACAAAGCATCCTATGCTGAGGCTGTGAAGGGAACCTGTTCAAAGGTTGCTG